AATAATACATTATTAATAAAAGATAAATAAATATAAAAGTGATGAAAGGATGAAACGAAAAAATTGTAATTATATAAGTAAATATAGTAAATGATTATTAATTTTGAAGAACCAAAATTAGTTACACAACTTGGGGGCACCACCCCTTTGTAAATATATTAAAAAATATAGTAAATCATCATTAAGTTTTGGGGTTAAAATTATAAATTATATGAGAGTTATAAAATTTTAGGGGCACCACCCCTCAATTCCTAAGAAAATCAAATTAATGTCACACACATAACATGTTGGTATATGTTCATGAAATTATTTATACCAAATTTCAGTAAACAAAATTTAGTAACATAGATAATCGATTATCATTATCAATTTTCATGTAATAAAGAATTCAATAAGTAAAATTCACATCTAAAATATTTGAATTATCTTTCTTTCTTTCTTATGTGTAATTCAATATTAAGACTTTTGATACATAAATAACTCTTAAATATAAAAATATACTATATAGTTGAGAAAAATAAAGTAAACAATAACTATGTTTAGTGTGATTAGAATGTTGTTAATTTAGTTGTTGAAAGAAATCACGTAATAATATTATGTTTTATTTATAAGAGAGTTTTCATCTTTAAGCGGGAATACTCACCAAAATTAAAAGATTATCTCTTTGTTATAACATAGATCTTTCACATCTATAAATTTATTTTCTCTATTTAGCAAAACAAAGGAAATATTTGTAAACTCGTGTTATACTCACACACAACATGTTAATGAAATTATTTATACCGAGTTTTTGCATACCCAATTTAGTAACATAGAAATTCAATTATCATACATCGAATAATCAATTTTCACAAAATTCAATAAGCAAAACTCACATTTTAAAATAATATCGGACTTGTTTTTGTTTTTGTACATAGGTTAATATTAAGATTTTTTATACATGAAATACTCTAAAAGGTAAGAATATATTATATTTTTGTGAGAAAATAAGGTAAATAATAATTATTGTGATTAGAATAAAAAGTAACATGTTAATTTAGTTATTGAAAAAAATTGGGTAAAAAATTGTGTTTTATTTATAAAAGTATTTTTATGCAAGAATACCTACCAAAATAAATAAAAAATTACTTTTTTCTTTAGCTCAGAGTTTCCAAGTCACAAAAAAAAACCTCTCAAAGACGGATATTTATAGGCTGATATTATAGTCACACATAACATGTATATGTTCATAAAATTGTTTATACCGAATTTTGTCATATCAAATTTATTATTGGATTAATTAAGAGAGTATATGTTCATATACTTGTTTAACCGAATTTTGTCATATCAAATTTATTGGTATTGGATTAATTAAGAGATGAGAACATTTTAAAATATTAGGTTATAAATATTTTCTTTTTATATTATTAAACATTCTCATTTTATTAGATTCATATTTTTATTTTTTAACAATAATTATATATATATAATTTTTATTTTTTTATTTTTATTTTTTTACCTGTGGAACGATCACATAGGAAGAATAACACAAAACGAACATGAATTATATTTATCTATTATAAAATTTATTCTAGATATTGATCGAATATTTGTGTATAAAATATTTGTGAGTTTTTTTATACTTCTATATATCACATATTTTATTTTATTTAAAATAAAATGATGCAAAAAAGTATTCCATAAAATATATTTTAATAAGAAATATCAATTTTTAATTTAAATATAAATTAAATTATAAAATATATAATAAGATTAATGTTTATAAAATGTTCATTCAAATAAGTTATAATATAAAATATAAATATAAATTATATATATTAAAAATAACTTTAATTTTATAAATTTAGATAAAAAATACATATTTATAAATTTTAATTCTAAATAATTATTTAATAATTAATATTTTGTAGATAGTTTAATTTAAAGAAATATTAAATAAAAATTATTAATAGATATTCGCGAATCAGATATTATAATCTGTTAATGAGTAAATAATTAAAATATCTATACTTTAGATATCAATTAATACATCCGTTCAATAGGATTGCGATATGATAACGGACATAAATTTTGTTGAGATCCTTAATTGTATATTTGTTTTAATATAAATTATATGCATATTTAAATGAAATAAAAACATTATGCATGATATAATTCTTATTTTAATACTAATGTTTATATTAAAAAAAAAACTATTTAAGAAAAGTTATTCTTGATTTTTAACTATTAAGAAATAGGATGTGATGCAATGTATCTATCGATATGGATGTCAAGTCTAATAAAAACTGTTTTCAAGACTTTTTACAAGTTACGAACTAAAATTGAAGTGTGAGTCATTAGCGTACGCAAGGCATAGTTAAATAAAATATAACTTTTCCTATCATATTTAGTTAATGACAAGTTAAAATATAATATTAAGGGAAGTAGTTTAAGTAATATTTAATCTTGAAATCAAGTAACTAACTAATTTTAATGTCATTTGATACTTTAACTGAGTACTTTTAACTTTGTTTTGTTGACTACTTGTTTTAATTATTTTTTTATGTATACGTTTTTGGAAGAAATCAAATACTAACGACAAATTTAGCATTAGTTTATGAAAATTATGTTGTTATGTTTGGTGATGACATCACTAACACCAGTCGCTTTATTAATGAAATGTATTATTGAAATAATAACACAAAAGTTCAATTTTTTAAATTAGTTTTTGCTGAAATAGTTTTAAATATTTAAATTTTAGATTATATTTTTTAAAGTAAAATTGTTTTCTTTGTAATTGTGAAATCAATATTTTAAGTCCCTAAGAATGTATTTATTTTTAGTCTTTTAGATTTAAAACGAAAAATTAGTCCCTAAATTTAAAAGGTATTTTTTCAAGTCTTGTAATTTGGAAACAATTTGTTTTTTTAAGGTTGACATTGTTTAAATTTTTGTATATAACTAATATGTGTTTATTTCAGAAACTAAAATAAATTTTGGCCTATGCTTGATATGTTTAAAATATTTAAAAAAATTCAAAAATGATTTTTCATTATATATACAAATTTTCATGTAAATATCCTTAGTCATATTAACAATAAGTATACCGTTCTTTGTGTTAAGTGATTTTATTTTATTTTATTTCAATACTATGAAAATAAAATTCAATTTTGGAGGAACAAACGAAAATAATTTAAATTGGAATAAGTTATATTATAATAATAATAATAATAATAATAATAATAATAATAATAATAATAATAATAATAATAATAATAATAATAATAAAACTAGTGAGTTTTTACTTTGATTTTTTTTTGTTTTTTATTCTTAAAATCACCAGTCTCAGTCTTTATGAAATATGTAAAATGCTTTAGTTCTTGTAAAATATTTATCTTTTTAAAATATTAAATAATTATTTTAGTCTCTAATATTTTAAGATGAATAATAAATTTATAATTTGAAATATTTATAAGCAGTTTTTATATATTTTAAGATTAATATATATAACCGCAGAACATTTGTTTGGAGAAACCGGATAATGTTAAAACTTTTTAATTTATTAAATTAATTTTAATTGCTATTGTATCACTTTTTTTGTATTTATTTTCTCCTTTAAAAATTAATATATGTCAATATATAATAAAAATATTAAGTTTAATTAATTAAAAAAATTTAATAAAAATACAGTTTGTGACAAACATGGATGGACTTGTCTGCACATGTTTCTGTAACTAATAATAATCTTAATCTTGGTTACATTTATAAAAACCTTTGGTTTTTTTATTCGTCATGTATCACTTTTTGTTGGGACGGAAACAATGAACATAAAGTCAAAAAGCAATAAAAATGTTTACCCAACCAAACAAAATCTTCTGAAGATGTAATGCATTACCAAATCAAATGGCATAGATTCTTTGATTCAAGTTTAAGTATGAGAAATAATATAATTTATAGGAATTGAAAATAATATTACATTTTTTTATATAATTAACTTACAATTATTTTTAAATATATTTCCATTGATATTCCCTCAAATACCCAGCACCTCTCGCTCTAAAGAAATCACAGTTATCGGTATTCGTAGTGTACATCATTTTCAACCACTTTCAATTTTATTCAACCTCGTCAACAAATGATATCCCGGTAAATAGTTGCCAAATTTCCACGAAATTCACAAAAATATATCTGCTTTACAATACTGTAGGTTCAACCTAGAAAACGGTGGTCTCATTCTACCTTTAAATTATATTTATGGCGTAACGTAAACATGGTTTATAATACTTTTTACTACATCAGTCATTACCTACTTTTCTTTTTATATCTCTTCGTTAATAAGAAAGAAAACTGTAGAAATATTGTGTAAAAAAAAAAAACAATTTCTATGGCTTTGGTTGCATCACATGCAGTTACAACCTAATACCAACGTCAGTAACTACGAAGAACAGCGTAAACCGTGTCCGTGTCATGCTGTTTTGTTGAGTCTTAGGTCAAACTGAAAACCGTGCGGGCCAATCTTCTTCGAACCGGTCAGCAATGGCGGCTCGACCGGTCTCTAGCTCCAAAACGTGAACTTCTTTATCTTTTCCTTATGCTACCATTCATAAATATGAATCCTTCAATAAATTAATGCCCCCAAAGTAGAAACACGCAACTGATTTCACATTCATTAACAAACAACATCAAGCACGAGCAACCCTTCTACTGATTTTACATAATCATCACAACCATTCATTAAATTACAATAGTTCCTGAGACCTCAACACACGTATCTATCTTCAACGAGTAAACGTATAATGCAAAGGAAAATTCCTGTTACGATTTCCTTTTTGTCCCCCTGCTGCTGCATTTCCCAGTCCAACACGCTTCCCAATGGCTTCAAATTCCTCACGTTCTTGAGCCACTCTTATTTTATTCTGGCAATCATCATCAGCACATGAGTTTTGTTCAATAAAGAAAAACAAGAGGAGAAGCAACAGAAGAAAAAGAAAAGATACGGAAAACTCCTCGTAGCAACATTAATGTCAGAGCAGGAAACTCGTTCTGGGTGCTTACTGTTATTCTTTTTCTTGATCCTTCTTTCAGGTACTCATTGTTTTCTTAGTGAAGATCTTATCTGCTTTATTGTATTCTTGAGAATTAGGATTATTTTATTGTGTTACAAGGTTGGTTACATAAACTTGTGTTTGAGTTAACCGAGGCAAATCTTGTTTGGTTTTGGTTTTGGTAGGTAAAGCTGTTGTAGGGGAATCTTTGGAAACAGACAAAGAGGTTCTGCTGGAACTGAAATCGTACCTGGACAACAAAACTCTTGCAGACAAAGGAGGGTACATAAATTGGAATACCAATAGCTCCAATCCTTGTGAATGGAGAGAAATTTCATGCAGTGCTACGAGGAGGGTGGTTGGCATAGACCTTTCTCAGAGTGACATCACTGGTGAGATATTCAAGAATTTCTCGCAGCTCACTGAACTCACACACCTTGATCTCTCTCAGAACACACTATCTGGTGAGATTCCCGAGGACTTGAGGCGCTGCCACAAGCTCGTGCATCTCAACCTATCACATAATATTCTTGAAGGGGAGCTGAATTTGACTGGATTGACAAGCTTGCACACACTGGACTTATCACATAACAGATTTTTTGGGGATATCCAGTTGAGTTTCCCAGCCATTTGTGACAATTTAGTCACTCTGAATGTCTCAGGTAATAACTTGACTGGTAGGATTGAAAACTGCTTTGATCAATGTCTCAAGTTGCAGTACTTGGATTTGAGCACCAACCGTCTGAGTGGAAGCTTGTGGATGAAGTTTGCGAGGCTCAAAACTTTTTCTGTCGCGGAAAACCATCTGACTGGGACTATTCCTTTGGAAGCTTTGCCTTTGAATTGTAGCCTTGAAGAACTAGACCTTTCACAAAATGGATTTGTTGGTGAGGCACCAAAGGGGGTTGCTAACTGCAAGAATTTAAGCAGTCTGAATCTTTCTAGTAACAAATTTGTTGGGGGTATTCCCGTTGAAATAGGATCTATTTCAGGACTCAAAGCATTGTACTTGGGGAACAATAGCTTTTCAAGAGAGATTCCGGAGTCCCTTTTGAACTTGACTAATTTGGCTTTCTTGGATTTGAGCAGAAACCAATTTGGTGGGGAAATACAAGAGATATTTGGGAAATTCAAGCAAGTGAGTTTTCTTCTGTTGCACTCAAATAATTACTCTGGAGGATTGAGATCCTCAGGAATTCTCACATTGCCAAAAATTTGGCGGTTAGACCTAAGCTACAACAACTTTTCAGGTCCGTTACCTGTTGAGATCTCTCAAATGTCAAGTTTGAAGTTTCTAATGTTATGCTACAACAAGTTCAATGGATCCATTCCACCCGAATTTGGAAACATGACTCAACTGCAAGCACTTGACCTTGCCTTCAACAATTTGAGTGGGTCTATACCACCAAGCCTTGGTAACTTGAACTCCCTCTTATGGTTGATGCTCGCAAACAATTATTTAACTGGTGAAATCCCTCCAGAGTTGGGAAACTGTTCAAGCTTGTTATGGCTAAACCTTGCCAACAATATGCTCTCTGGAAATTTGCCTTCTGAACTATCCAAAATTGGAAGGGATGCCATGACCACATTTGAATCAAATAGGCGAAACTATAGAATGGTTGCTGGATCTGGTGAATGTTTGGCAATGAGGAGATGGATACCAGCAGATTACCCTCCATTCAGCTTCGTGTATAGCCTCTTAACAAGGAAAAAATGTAGAGAACTTTGGGACAAATTGATCAAAGGGTATGGTGTTTTCCCGTTTTGCACACCTGGTTCTTCCTTTCGCATAACACAGATATCCGGCTATATTCAGCTAAGTTCGAATCAGCTCAGTGGTGAAATTCCTCCAGAGATTGGATCAATGGTCAACTTCAGCATGATGCACTTGGGATTCAACAAACTCTCGGGGAAGTTACCTCGAGAGATAGGAAGTATTTCCATGGTGGTGTTAAACATCACAAGAAACGATTTTTCAGGCGAAATTCCCCAAGAAATTGGCAACATGAACTGTCTGATGAATCTGGATTTGTCATACAACAATTTCTCTGGAATGTTTCCAGCGAGTTTGAACAAATTGACAGAACTTAACAAGTTCAACATCTCATACAATCCCTTTATATCAGGTGAGGTCCCATCAACCGGACAGTTCGCTACCTTTGAGGAAAATTCATATTTTGGAGACCCCCTTTTGATCCTACCCAAGTTTATTCGGAACACTAGCAACGATAGAAACAACACCTATCAGAAAGACCATAAAAAGTCCTCAAGACTGTCTTTGTTTTTGGTGTTTGTGGTTATAACTCTGGTTTTCATTGTATGTGGACTTCTCACTGTCTTAGTCTGCGTATCGGCGAAAAGCCCTTCTGAGGAACCAAGGTACCTCTTGAGGGACAATACACAGTGGCATGATTCCAGCAGCTCCGGATCCTCACCATGGATGTCCGACACAGTCAAGGTCATCCGTTTGAACAAGACAGCTTTCACACATGCCGACATTCTGAAAGCAACTAGCAGCTTCTCAGAGGACAGAATCATTGGAAGAGGAGGGTTTGGAACAGTGTACAAGGGAGTGTTTTCAGACGGCAGACAAGTGGCAGTGAAGAAGCTCCAAAGGGAAGGCCTGGAGGGTGAGAAGGAATTCAAGGCTGAAATGGAGGTTCTGAGTGGTCATGGCTTTGGTTGGCCTCATCCAAACCTGGTCACCCTCTACGGCTGGTGCCTAAATGGTTCAGAAAAGATACTAATTTATGAGTTCATAGAGGGTGGAAGCTTGGAGGATGTAGTGACTGACAGAATACGTTTGACATGGAGGAGGAGGGTAGAAGTGGCAATTGATGTGGCACGTGCACTAGTGTATCTACACCACGAGTGCTACCCTTCTGTTGTGCACAGAGATGTGAAGGCTAGCAATGTGTTGCTAGATAAAGATGGGAAGGCGAAGGTAACTGATTTTGGGCTTGCTAGAGTGGTTGATGTTGGGGATAGCCATGTGAGCACTATGGTGGCTGGGACAGTGGGGTACGTTGCACCTGAATATGGACACACATGGCAGGCTACTACAAAAGGGGATGTGTACAGTTTTGGGGTGTTGGTTATGGAGTTGGCAACAGCAAGAAGAGCAGTGGATGGAGGGGAAGAGTGTTTGGTTGAATGGGCTAGGCGTGTTATGGGTTATGGACGCAACCACCATAATCACCATCATCATGGGTTGAGTCGTTCCGTGCCAGTTTTGCTGATGGGTTCTGGGCTTGTTGGTGGTGCTGAGGAGATGAGTGATTTGCTGAGGATTGGGGTGATGTGCACAGCTGATGCACCACAAGCCAGGCCTAACATGAAGGAGGTTCTTTCTATGCTCATTAAGATATTTATTTAACCCCAAGGGTCACTCCAGTTATGGATACCTTGTTTAGGGAATTCATAGATCTCATATATGGGACAAAAATTTGCTTAGTGAGATGTAACATAGTCTACAAACAGTTCATGTCATGTCATGTCATGCACAGTTGATTCTTCTATTGTACACACAAACAAACTTCATTCATCATCTTAAACAAAGTCCCTCAATTTTGTTATACAACCTTTTTTTATTCTTCTTAACATTTATCTTACAAAAGGCATTATCAACTTATGTTTTTTTTCCCCTTATGTTAACAAACACCCTTAGTCATTTTATGTTATATAATATAACTGTATAATATTATTTATACTTTTAAAAAATAAAGTCATTTATTAAAATATATTCTTTCTAGAACATAAAATTAAATAAAATGACATTTTAAAAACGAGTTTTCTATAGTGTAAAATTGGTATATAAAATCGTTGTTAATCAGATACAATTTTTTTTCATTATCTTCTTATTTAAATAAATTGTTCAATAGTTTTTACCTGTTTAAAATGTATATGCCAATTTATTAAATACAAAGTATTTAAAATATAACAAATGGATATCAACATTTTTTTAGCTGGGATGAGAAATTTAGACTTCACTTACCAAATAAATATATAAAATGTAATTAAGATTTGGTATGACCATTTATTACTTCTAATAAAACAATGTTTTGCTGGAATAAGAGTAGCATTTTCAACAAATTTTTTTCTCCTAAAAAATTACACATCAGTTTATCATAAATACATGTTTTAAAATATAATAATGAATAAAAATATTAAATTACAAATTACTATATAATGAACTCTTAATTTTTTAACAGAGTCTAGCTTTTTTTTTTATACATTGTCATTATAACAAGTTTTATGTTATCAATTAACAAAAATTATAATGTAGGATAATGTAATTTTTTTATATATTGTTAGTACACGCACTCATTTTTTTTTCTAATATATTATGTATTTAATGTTAAATATTTCATTTTTATTTAATAATTCATTTATTTTTTACAAAATCGATATCTTGTATTAAATTATACTATCATCTCTTTAGAGGAATTATTTAATTAATTTATTTATTTAAACACCTTACGTTGTTAACTTCTTTCAGTAATACCAAATTTTTTTAACCTTGAGAGATTTCAATAGTGCATATTTACTCATATATTTATACCAATTGGACTTTGTTGCTTATGGAAGCATAAAATTTAATTTTAAAAAAATGTGTTTAGGCAAGATACAGTATTTACAGTAGACCAAGTGCATAAATGTACGTTCAGATCAAATTTGCTATAATTCTTTTTAAGAAAAAAAACTGAATTCAATTTTTGTTCAATGAGTTTTTTTTTTTTAATTATTTAGAAACTTCTTCAAATTAATTTATCTATAAACTAAATTTAAATTTTAAAAAATAATTTTTATATATATATTTTTTGTATCATTCTTTATTAGAAGTCAAAAGGACTGGTGATGACTAAAGAAAAAGAACTATGGAGGGAAAGAAGCAGGTGCTAACTGTACCAGAAACTAACTGTGGGTCCACTATTTTAGGGTTTGCACTTCCATTTTTTTTTTTCTTTACCTATATTTTTGTTCCCTGAATCTTGTCTACACTTTCTCAAATTTGTTCACACACACGCGCATAATCAAATATATCAATCTCTTCACGCTGCAATTAAATTGTTTCTAGGTTGGGCAATCCAGCATGCAGGTTCGTTGCCATTCACTATTTTTGTATTTTGTTTTTTGTTTTATGGTTAGAGGTTGTGATGGATGCAATTGTTGCGAGTAACCTATAGGTGTGGCTGTTTTAAGATTGATTCTTCAATCCGAAGATCTTTGACTCCTTGGTTGTGTTTTAAGTGCAGGAATCGAGGGCGGCAAGGCTTCTCTTCTGTTCAAGGAGTACAAAGAGGTGCAGCAAGAAAAAGACTGTTGATCCAAATACTCTACTAGTCTTTGATGGTTTTATCATTTTAAATGGACGGCTCTTATAAGGTATGCTGACTATTGTTAATTACAACCTGTTTGTGATGATTCTGACATTTGCTTTGTTTGCAGTGTGGGGGGGTCCCTATGAGACAATTTAGGAGGGATATGTGTTGCAGCTTGCTTTCTCTGTTCCGGACCAGTATCCTCTACAGCCACCTCAAGTCCGATTTTTGACTAAAATATTTCACCTAAAGGTTCACTTTAAGGTAGGATGGATCTGTCTATAAATCTGTTATTCTTGTGCCCATACCATTTCACTTCTGGACCTCAACTTTATAATTTCTGTGGACAGTTATTTATCCTCGTTTTTTCTTTTCTTTTTTTCACAATGGTTTCTGAAATTTTCTAAGTGATGCATCCATTAAAAAATAAATATTATGTCCTTTGGTGCATGGAATTGGAATTGTTGTTCAAAATTGTAATTCTAATTTCTATTCTGATTAGTTTGGAATAACCATTCTTAAGAGGTGTGTAAGGATCTAGAGGTTGGAATTATAATTCTAAGTTTAAGTGCAATTCCGTCTTTTCATGTCTCTATTTAGCTAGGTGTAGTTATGGGTACAACTTTGATGGTGGGGTGAAGATTGATGGTGGGGTGAAGAGGAGGTGCAGATGGGTAGCAGTAGTGACAGGACTGGTGTTGGAGGTAGTGGTGAAGGGGTGACAGATTGGTAATGGTCATTGAATTGGTAACAATGGTGATTGGTGATGGTGGTTATCAATAAGGATGGGGGAATGGCTATGACGATATTGGCAACAGCAGAGATGATGAAAGTTACATAGTAGCAATCATTGTTGGCAGTGGTAATGGCAAGGACAACAACAATGATTGGAGTGGTCAGTGGTAGCAGTAGGGCAAGGGGGTGGCACCATGGCAGCAATCAGTGGGATTGGGGTGGCAGTGATTGGTGGTAATGGCAGTGGTAGTGACATTGCTCGTGGTAGCGGGAGCAATAAAGACAGGGGGAACAACTGAATAGTGAGGATGAATTGGAACTGTAATTTAGAGGGTTGATGTTTGGAACTGAGAAATGTTCGCTTATATTATATTAGAATTCTATGGAATTAGACTTTATAATTGTGGTTCCAATTCTAGATGAACTTCCAATGTCATAATTCCAAGTTCAAACACCAATTCCATTTCCAATTCCGTGCATCAAATGGACAATAATTGTTTACATGAGGAATAAATGGGAAATGAAACGCTTGTCACCTTATAATCTGGTAGCCCTGCTACGAACCTGCTATCATAGACATAATTTAGTTGTCATATATGATGCTAATAAATGATGAGTGTTCGTGCTTGTTGTCAGATGGTTTGGTTACCTTCTCAAGGATGGAAAGACTAATATTGCTAACCTTTATGGGAGGCTGACAAGTTAAAGAAACCCAACTTCTATGCATACTATTAATTAAATCCCTTTCAGTTTAACAACTAGAAATTGTAAGCCTTGGATTTGTTTTTAATTACCTGGTCAATTATTATTTCTTTTCTTCTGATCTTTTATCAGTTGATGGATAGCTATTTGTTTTCTTAAAGTATTTTCATGATGACTGGTTAAAAATCTAGTTAGCTTGCATGACCCCCCCATACGCCAAATAAAAAGGTTGTTAATTCCTTTTGACAAGCTTCTTAAGTGGCATACAGGGGGCCAGGCGAGTCCTTGTTTCTTCATCAATCAAAGTAAATAACAATCAACATCATCAAAACTTACATAACTATCTTCATATCTTATTTCTTCATCAATCAAAGTAAATAACAATCAACATCATCAAAACTTACATAACTATCTTCATATCTGATTGAGTGACTTGTTAGCTTGCATTACTCCCCTGATGTCAAATGAAAATGCTGTGAGTTCCGTTTGACAAGCCTCTTATATAGAATACAGGGATTCAAGCAAGCTCACCATTTTATCAATCATAGTAAATAGCAATCTGTATCTAGAAAACTTGTACAACTCTCCTCATGTATGATTGACTAGTTAGCCTGCATGGCTCCCCTTATGCCAAATAAAAAGACTGACAATTTCTTTGGCAGGATTCTTACATGGCATTCAGGGAGCCAGGCAAGCACATCATTTCACCAATGGGAGAGATAGCAATTTTCACCAAGGGGCTTCACCTTGAACTTGACTAGAATCTGCATTATAAAACATTAAGTATCAGACTCCAAAACCCAGAAAGATTTAATTAAAGGTATACACACTGTGTAAAAACTAACTACATTCACTGACTCACTGACTCACATTTGAGTGTGATGAGATGAATGAGAGAAAGAAACGGTCCCATTTGACATCAAAATCAAGAGCTACTAACCCTTAATTATGTACTGAGATAAAAAAAAAGGGAGAGGAGGTCAACAAAAATGAGGGGAATAATCTAGTTCTTGGGCTTAAGCATAAAATGACATTGAGCTCCAAGTGAGTCCCTGTAGTTTTTTGTTTCTGGAACCAATGAACGAACCTATGGGGTATTTAAGGAGACAGAAGTGAGGGGGAGAGACGAGAAAATCCATGAAAAAGAGGGGAAAGGGAAGAATTAAGGGTACAATTGGCAAAGGCGGCAACCAAACCTTGGTTGTAACAAATAGTTCCACCAGATAAAGCCAAACCTGCCTGGGTTTTACAGGTAGTCTTTTTTGGATTTTTTCCCTTGGAAAAGGTGAACCCCCTCCCCACACAAACAAATCCTTCTTTAAAATTTTCCACCACTATTTTCATCCTCCACTCTTTTCAGTTACATGTAAGATATGAGGTGTGCCTTTCTGTCAATTTTCCTATTGTTGAAACTTGAAAACTTTTTAAATTATGGGACCGTTTAGTCGTAAACCTTTAATCATTACAGTTTCATTGATCAGCATAATTAATTTAATCATCTTATTATTATTGAATGCACTACCCTGCTAGCGAAAGGGCCAATGACTTAGTGTGATCAATTTCCAGACGATGCCAAAACCAGTCAATAAGACAAGGCCAGAGTTGCAGTGAGCGTTAGCTGAGTTTGATGCTGGGGTCCGTTTCTCTCAGAACCGAAGCTGGATCAAAATATGGACAAATATGAACAAATATGAACAGATATGAACATCAAACTCATAGTCCATCACCATCAAACAGTACTTAATATAATAGATAATTTGTGCAGTGTCCATCACTGGATTAAACTATCTGTAGCCGTTGTGTAAGTGTGTTTCATTCTTTAACTATAGTAACGATTTAATAATTAAGAGAAAATAACTGTACTAACATGAGACAAAAGTATTTTATTTTACTTCTCGTTTTAAGCAAACTATTAGTATAATAGTTATACTTCATATATATGAGTATACCATGTTAAACATAAGCTATAACTTTGTTACAAATGTTACTCTAAATCATTTACTGTGGCCCCAAGAGATTAAAAAGCTTACTTTCATAGTTCCAATGTGGTCTCAATATATGCATATCATATCCCTGCTTAGTGCCAAATGAGGGAGTTGGGACCAATCTGTTTAGCCATTTCATTTTTAAAGGAATTTAATAAGGGTACTTGGCCAATTAAGGACCACATGCAACTGCGCATAAGAAAACACATGCATCAATCCATTTCTCAAAGACATGACTTATATCATATGGTTTTGTCCATGTGAACAAGGTGCAACCGTGGTTGGGATAGCAACTGGCTATGTTATTTAGAAAACACTTTATGATAATTTTTCTTCTCAAAGCTATTATGTTATGATCTTCACCCTCTTCAGTTTGATAACATGAATAGTAATTTATAGACAATTGATCCATATATTCAATTTACAATTCCATATAATAATATAATAGTAATAAATATATAAATTTAAAAGTTTATCAATAATATATCATTAAAATGGGTTGTAGGATTAATATTGGTTGGAAAATGAGTGTCAAATTATTGTCAATATATGTGCCTCATGAGATCCCAGAATTAAGGTTTATTTTTTGAGTTCCAGTCTGTCGGTCCAAGTTGTTCAAAGTAACATCCCTCTCTCTTTCTTTAAGTTGTTCAAAGTAACATCTGCATGTGACAGAACGTATTAAAAATAATATTAATTACAGGAAGTATTTAATAAACTAATTCCATTAAATATAATATTAAATAGGGTTAAATATGTTTTTTTTTTTGGTGTTTATACCTAAATTAATTAATGATTTTAATTCTTTTCTATACTCAAATTTAATATTTAGTGATGATAGTTTAGTTTAACAAAAAAATGATTTTCCTTTCTTTATACTTAAATTTAATATTTAATAATATTTTTATATTATTATAAAATTGAAAAAATGACTATTTTTTTTAAGTTTGAGAACTAATTAATTAATTTTTAAGTATATAGACTAGAATTAAATTTAATGAAAAATACAAGAACTAAAAATACATTTATTTTTGTTCCAATAATGACCAAAACTGAACTATTCCCAGATTAGATGATTAATTTTTTTAAATAGTTGAAAACAAAAACAAACTTGACCCGAACTAAAAAATAAATAAAAGAAATAAAATATAATATTAGTTACATGAGGTACTAATAATAATAATAATTACAATTTAGTATGAAAACACAAAATTTGAAATTTCTTATATGTACTTTTAATATATTAAATTTTAAAATTATTTAAACAATTAATAAAAATAACAATTTTAACAGTTGAAAACAAATATTAATTACAAGAGTCAATAAAATAGTATTAATACTTATATATCTGAATGTTCTTTCAAATTTAATTTAAATATTTTTTAAATATATTTTAAAATTTTCACTTTTGATCCCTAATTTGTTTTCTTTTTAGTCCATTATAAAAATAAAAAACTGTTAGCTGTTTTAAAATTAGATAAGTTAAAAAAAATTTAAATTTGACTAAATAAATAATTTTATTCCAAATTTAAGGGAAAATATATTTAAGTCTAGTAATAATTATTAATGATATTATCAATTACAATTTAAGATACTAGATAAAATAGACTAAATAAGATGATATATTATTAAATAATAAAAATTATATTTGGCATTTCTTGTGTATAATATTAAAGTTTATAATTAAGAATAATATTAATTAGAGAAAGTATATTAAAAATAATATAAAATACAAAAAGCATAAAAAATTAGCTTTGACTATTTAATAACTGTTTTAAGTATTACTAGTAATTAGTTCTTAAATATCACATTGCTTAAGTATATTTTTAAAATATCTAAAATTAAAAATGATATTTTAGTCCAAAAATTCCACTTTTGAGTCCTAATTTGTGCTATTTGTAGTCTCTAATAAAGATGAAAAGTAAGCTATTCACAAGATAGAGAATTTCAAATTTTATTTTAAATTATTCTTACAAAAACAAACGGTATAAAAATAATATTATTTTAATTTAGACAAAGATATTGAAAAGACTAAACAAGATAAAATATTCTAAAATGATAAAAATTAAATTTGAATTTTATTTCACATATATATATATATATATATAATAAATATTAAACTTAATTACTTGATAATTATATTAGTTACAGCAATTATTATAAATAATATGACTTACAAAAAGTATGAAAAATAATATTAATTAAAAATTATTAATAATAATATTAAGATTTAACTTTTTAATATTTTAATTTAAGATAAATTTAATTTTGTCTCTCATTGATTTTCTTTTAACTCTATAATGTAAAACTAATAATTTTTTATCCCTATTTTGTAATATTTTTAGTCTGTCATAGAGACCAATGCAACCTATTTTCTAATTTGTCGAACAAAAAATATTTATTAATTCAAGAGATAAAACACAAACATGATCTAAATTTAAGGGAGCAAAACTTGTTATCCTTAGAATATGATCTTTATATTTTATCGTAAAGATAAAAATTATTTCAAAATGTAAAAACTAAAGAAATAAATTTTGTAGGTTCAAAAACAAAAAAATTAAAAGACCACAAACATGTAAAGATAAAAATTATTTCAAAATGTAAAAACTAAATAAATAAATTTTGTAGGTTCAAAAACAAAAAAATTATAATAAAAATTAAAAGACCACAAACATATTTACGTGTAATATTAATTACAATAGATATTAATAACAGTTTAATAACAAAAAATCATTAAAAGGTCAAATAATATGACATATTAATAATAATAATAATAATTAAATTTGAAATATTTTTTATATACTTATAATACAATATTAAAAGTATTTTGATGAATAACTTGTAGAATGGATAAAGATATAAAAATGTGTTTTGATTATATAAATATTTATAATAGTTTAGAAATATTTGTAGACTTCTAATTTAATTTATAAATGTATATGCATGCATAAAGGTAGGATAAAAGCTTAAAAAGGATGATTTTAAAATCTCTTGCATAAACAAATTAATAAATATTGTACAATTAAATCCAAATTGAGTTCGTAGTTAATGAAATTATAGGTTGATATAAAATTATTTTATCTCTGCATATCAGATTTAAAGACTATCTCTCAATTGAAGTTTGAAAAATATATTTTCAAGAAAAATATTTTATAAAAAGGTTTTAAAAGATCCCATTCATTTTTTTATCAATTCATTATTCAACATGTATTTATTTATTAATATTAATAATTAAAGAAGTATAGTCATAATATACCTACAAAATTCATTTAATAATAATATAATAATATTCTATCGATTATTTAACAATCATTAAAATGAGTTGAAATTTTATAATATTTTACAAATTAATAATTGACGAAGAAATACTTTATATCTATCAAAGTAATTGATTTTCTTTAAGAAGTTGTGCCAAGTACATGTCTTTTATGAATATGTCATAATATTTTATAGTATGTTATTTGACTTTTTTTTTTTTAGTTTATAGATTTATGAAATATTGGAGTTTTTTTACTTTGTCCATGGTTTTAAACGTCTTATATCAAAGTTAATTATGAGTTGAAGAAATTGACAAGAGATAAAGTCATTAATTGCTTTATTTTAGACATGCAAATTCAATTTTTTACTCAAATTATGGACTTCAAAAATACCTACATAGGTGTAAGGGATAAGATCCATGATGAAAATAACAATAAAGTTAAGTTTATTAGGTTCCTGGCATTCACGAAACAAATTGAATTTGTTAATATTGTGACATATATTCGAATGTTGCAAATCAATTCTAAGACATCACTAATAAATTATATTGTTAAACTAAAAAAATTCAATTTAGTAACCATGATTTTTATGGCAAAACAATATAAATCTGTTAAGACTATGTGACCGAAATAGCGATGGATTTTATATGATAATAATAACTTTAGTCACAAAATAGTTGGTTAGTGATATTTGTTTCGGTGGTTAAAATAGCTACTGATATTTTAATCTCTTTTCTATTATGTTATGAGTTATAGTTTTTTTTTTCTTTAATAAGTTTATATTTGATATTATTTGTATCAATGACCAATGATAATCAAAATGAATATAATATTGTATTCATGATTCTATCAGATCTTCCCTTATTATTATAACATGAGTTTGATACTTACTTCTCTTGTTCTTCTTTACAAGATTAGAGCAACTTAATTGTCATTATTTGAAGTGGTGAGAGAGCAATGTGGTGTTGGATTTGATATGATTCCAACTTTATGTGAGGGTTGGGCAGAGTACTATTCTATTGCCGGCTTTCGACCAACAATACCACCATGACTAAGCAGTAGCTTCGTAATGATTGAGTTTTATTGTAAAAGATGGTAGGTATTCACCCGACCCTCTTCAGATTCATGCACCACGTATATTTCACATGTTGTATTGTAGTTCCTCACTAGGTGCTCATAGTAAAGGGTTTTATAATTGTGTATCACAATATGCCTCTCAAGATCGTGCATTATGGATGATGCTGTATAACACTTCTTAAACACGTCCCTTCTCACTTTCTTAAAATATACTATCAAACTAATCACACTAGTGTTTTTACTGTCATTTCTTTCTTTTCATCGCATGTCTATCATTAAAATTAATGGTTTGGTTTTGTTTGGTGTCACAGTGCTTCACTGCTTGCTTCCAATGTCCAATAACAACCTAACATACTGATTTGATTCCCGTCTTCTGTAATTTTTCCTCACTGATTTTTTTTTTTCTTTCTTTTGTTCTTCTTTGTCAGCATTTATTTCTTCGATGGTCTGTGAATGAACGATGATGCTCACATTTAATACACATTACTCTCAACAATCCTCGAGTTTTTGTAACACATTTTTAAGGTTCTCTCAAGACCAATTCCTGCGATAATGTGAAAGAAAGAGTCTTGCAATAATAATGAAAAAGTGAGGAGGAACATACCCTAGCCTTGTACCTGGTGCTAAGAAATAACTATGGATGCACCTAGGACGCAACGCAAAGTCTTGATCAAATTGATGACGCTAAAACAAGGACAGGTTGGCTAATGTAGAGGCTAGAGGCTGAGAGAGACTATAAACTCTATAGCAGCATGAAAACACATGAAACTCTTTTGTACAAAACCTATTCTGAAATGATGAAAAATAAGTAAACAATACATGTAGAACTGCATTGAAAGGTGTTTCACAGACTACTATTCTAGGATTAGTTTGAAATCTTTTTTCCGCACTGGCTCAGACGATGATATAGCTGCTATTCTACTCAGAGCTTCCAAAGTTGTATTCTATGCATGTACCATCTTGTGCTCATGTGAAAGAAACGTGTGGCCTGACTAGGAAAGTGGTGATGTTATCATGAAAGGTAAGACTAAAAAGGTAGCCATAGCTATCAACATGGCACACTAGTTTCATGAGTGAATTAGCAAATAATAAAGCATTTAAAAAATGAGAAAAATGACTTTGATATGCTTTTTTATAAAAGAAAAACATTATTCCTTTTATATATATATATATATACATAATATTTAGCCATAGTAAAATACAATTATTTAATCAAATTGGATTTCGAATTTAGTCATTAAATTATTCAAATTCACTTTGTGCTAGTTTGTAAAAGTGTGATAATAAATTTAAAATCAACCAACGTATAATTTAAAGGATGAAACACGTGTTTGGGACACAAGATTTAAAATTCTATTCACAAAGTTAATAGAAATAACAATCTTAAAATTATTTAATTTACTCAATCATAAAATAATCAAAATTATGAAATAAATTACTTGTATGTTTTAAGGACCACTTGTTCACTCCACACTGAAAATAATGCAAGAATGATGTGTCGGGCCCCTGCTCCCAGAAACTTTATTTCAAAACCAAATATTCGATATTATATATAGTATCGTTTATTTATAACTTTCTTTCTAACTTTTTATACATATATCTTTTTATACAATTTTTTTTTAAATAATTATTTTCCTAAAAAAATAAAAATATGTGAGATTATTTAAAGAAGGAGCACTCGGTGATTTTACTCCGACACGAAAACAAGCTTTTGGCGTGGGTTTGGGCGTGCTGTACTTTAAAATAAATTAGCGGAGGGAAATTGTTTGTAATTTGAGACATTTTTGGCCTCGAATCATTGCTTTCCGATTCCAAACATTGCCCCATTCTAGAATGTCTTTCTACCACTTAAATTCAACGGACAAAAGGCAACCCTACTTTCTCCTCAAGTTTATAGTAAAAGTATTTCAATACAAGAAATTCAAGAAAGCAGTGGATTGTAAGAATTAAAGTTTCACTCTACACGTTGGAAAACTTGTTAATTGTCTAAGTTATTAAATCTGGAATCAGAGGATTATGAGGCTGTTCTACTTGACTTTGTTTTAGTTTCAGTTTGTCTGCTGTTGTTTTATTTTTCTACTGTACAGAAGCAGTTACCTAGTTGTCCCTTGTTTTTGTCCTCATTACCTTTTCCACGCAAATGGCACGAATGATGATACTACAATCTTTGATTTCCCTAACATTTTCTTTCTTAAATAACACCACGATCTTTATCTATTATAAGTAGTTCTGTATTTCAAAAAAGTTGAAAGATAAATTTAATGAAATTATAATAATTTAATGAAGCATGTTTTAATGATGTGTATTTTCCATTTGATCCCTATGATTGTCTAAATTAAAACTAGGATTTAGGAGCTGGGGACATATATAATTGGATGAGAATGTAAAAATACTTTACATGATTATCAATGCATGTATTATTCTTCTTCTCTCTATATATAAAACACAGATTATGTTATCGTATCCGCGAACTTGTCCTTGTGATGAATTTTAGAGACACTTAGATGTTGCATATTTTCCCTATAGGAATCGCAATGTTTGGGATTCATAAACCACATGAGTGGCTGATATGATGTTTGTTTGTCCATACTGAATCCATGCGCAAGAGAAAAGATACAGAATCATCAAATATGAAAATTTAGGAGCCATATCAGGTTGGCATGCAAGAAGAAAATTGGAGAGGGACAAAACTGGATTCTTGTAGAAAATTAACGAGTGCTAGATTCTATAGGGATATAGATGAGGCAATTAGGGGGTTAGAGAGAATCGCTATTCAAATTCGGGCTAAAACTTTCCAGGCGTAGGTAAGTGATTTCAAGTCATGGATGTAAAGATGGAGGCATATCTGCCATGCCACTCTCCATGATTACTGTCCTACGGAAAAAACCAATCAAGTGCTCCTCCACTATACACCAATTAGTGCATATATTAGTTAGAAAGGGAAGGGAACAAAAGAAATACGAATATATCTTATCAACTATTTCACCTTCCATCTCTCTCTCACTCTTCCTTTCTATCTTCTAGCCCCACTCTCCCAGGTTGTCTATAAATTGGACATGCACGCAAGACTATTGAATGAACCTTAAGAGAACCCTGCTAACAAAAAATGGAGTACTCTAATGGATTTCCTAGAAAAAGAGACGTTTCTCTTCAGGAACTTAGCAAAAGGCTCGCGGAGTTTGCTGAAGTAAGAGGATGGGATCAATATCACAGTCCCAGAAACCTTCTTTTAGCTCTTGTAAGTCTCAGATATATATTATATAAGTACTAAAATATGATGTTGAAATTTCTGTAACAAAGTTAATGAACATTCTATATACTATCTATGCACTCCTTTATTATGCAGGTTGGAGAGGTGGGAGAGGTTTCTGAGATATTCCAGTGGAAAGGAGAGGTTGCAAAGGGGTTACCCAATTGGAGTTCTGATGATAAAGAGCACTTAGAGGAAGAGCTTTCAGATGTTTTGCTTTATCTAGTGCGTCTCGCTGATGTTTGTGGGCTAGATCTTGGACAAGCAGCTCTGACAAAAATAGTGAAGAATGCTCAGAAATACCCAGTTACTAGTACTGACCATACGACCACTTCCACTTGCAACTAGCTAGCTGTGTACTAGTACTAGTATGCTATATATAATGCTACCTACCCCAAAAGAAATAATTGCATGATCCATCTATGTAACTTCTCTTCACTTTAGTTTTGAAACTGAGTCCATTTCCACTTCAATCTTGACCCTGTAAGAGCAAATTAACCTTTAATTAAAGAAGCTACGAGTATTTAATAATCTGTGTTATGCTTGTATTGATGTAGTAGTTTAATTAGGTAGTCATGACTTGCTTACCGAAAGGACTGCACTCGTTATATTTCCATTCACAAATGGAACTCCACATATGTGATCTCGTGTCCTAAATGTTTGTGAAATGAGTAAATTGCCCATGTAGGCACGTGCGTGACCAACCATTCTTCATCTCATTAAACAAAACAAATGTAAAAGACTTTCGAAAATAAAAAAAATGGTGAAATTTAAGTTGGAATATGCCACAATAGACGTAAATTTTCGTCAAACATGTTATATCTGACATAAATTTACATAGGTGGTCAATAGAAATAAATTTACATTGATCCTGGTTAGATCCGACGTAAATTTATATCGGTTAAAGTCTGATTCAACTTAAATTTCGTCCTTTTTTTTAATATTGATTGTGTCTTGTCTTATAACTAAAACCTGTAATATATTTTAATGACAGATAATCTAGAGATTCAAGTTTAGTAAGATAATAATTCAAAAAATACAATAATATAATATGATACAAACTATAAAAGTTAAACTAAGTTAATACAATATAATACAAACAATAACCTACAAATTAAGTACTAGAATTGTTGAACGAAAAATCTTGTTCATTGTTCTTTAATTTGTGTAATATTATGTTCTGGTAATGGAGATGGATCTTGAAATACCTGAAACATTAATTTGACTCATGTTAACATGCAATACGCATAAAGTTAAATCAACTTAACAAATATTGAAAAGTAATTACTTCCGTCCAAGAATCAATTATACCCGCACAAACTATGACTTTCATCCAATACATGATATAATATCCACGTTCAAATGAGTTTTTTGCTTATTACACTAAAATGAGAAATAAAACACAATGTTATTTTCAAAATTTAAATAGAAACAATAATTATGGTGTTTATTTAGGTAAATAAGTTTATAACTTTAGGATAAATAAAGTGCAAATTCTTTGTTCTGTGTCTTCCATTTAGAACATTAGTTTCAGACACGATTCTAATTGAAATAAAGTCATATATTATTCAATATGTATTTACACTTTAAAAACATAATTAATGAAAAAAAAAATAAAGTTACCCTTATAACAAACTTTTCATTTCTTGACTCGGTTTTCGGTGCAATGAACAAAATCATACCACACTGTAATCCTTGAGCATGATTACAATTAACTGCTAATGAGACCTACATTATATGACATAAAAATTAGTTATAAAATTAACATTATGACAAAAATACAAATTAAAATATTAATCCTTCAATATATGGAGCCAAATATATATGTCTTTTTGAGTCACTCATCCATGTTTGCATATATTGTTGGATCCCGACATTTGTATTTTCAGATTTTTGGATGGATTGAGGCTCAATAAATACATATACTTCAGTTTTTTCTTACTCCACACTCAATTTATTAATGTACCTAACACAATGAATTTCAAGTTAAATATAATTTTTATACTCTTAGAAACATAAATGAAAATGACTTACATTGCCCACAATTGTATGATGAAATGTTTAACATGCAGTTTCCCCTAACAACTTCTAATGCATCAGGCAAGAAAATGTACAATGGAACAATAGAATTGTCAATTCCAAACATTCTAGTCTCCCATTGTATCTGACATGATCTCTTCCTCAACCGTGATAATATGGTTAACAACATAGATATGAGATCATCCTCGATTTTGACATGTCCTCATCAATAATAGGTTATTTCTTATGCTTATCATGATGAATAAACTCTTAAACAAATGATAACAAATAATTAAACATTCATATAATTATAAGACTAAAAAGAATAGAAAATGTACAATATATACATTACCTTGGTTCACTACTACAAAATATACTTTCTACGTCGTCATCCATATAAACCGACGTTGAAAGTCTTTTTTTATTTTTTTCACCCAAAAACTCACTTAAATTTGTAAATTGTCATTAATAGGATTCGAACCCAAGATCTTTAGAGTTGGAGGGTCGATACTCCAACCACTAAGCTACTAGAATTTTCTCGATAATAACTAACAAATAAATTATATTTATATACAAATAAATATATATCCATGTAAATATATATTTATTTGTATATATTTTCTGGAAAGTATTTTAATTTTTATTTTCAGCCAAAAATTCTCTTAAGTTAATGAATTGTCACTGATAGCATTTGAACCCGAGTATTTTGGGGTTGAAAGTTAATATCCCAACCACTAAACTACTATAATTTTTTGATAATAACTTACAAATAAATTATATTGGTATTTTTCGATCGAGGGTGAAAGTGTGATTGACTCTTGCTTGAGTGAAAATATGTTAAAGCTCACGGAAATTCACTTACTCAAGTCTCGCTTGAGCGAAAATTGGTATTTTTCGCTTGAGAGCAAATAACGCGTTTCCCAAATTTATTTTATATCATTATATAAATAAAATTATAAAGATTATATTCTGTCATTAAATTACAAACTCATATAAAGATACCTGCTCACAAATTTAGCATCAAATTTTGAAAACCCACTCGACACACACTTTCACTTTCGAGTGTGCCCTCACATCCAACATATAAATATATAACTATATAAATATATCAAAATATATAAATATATTTGTATTTATATATTTATATATTTACACGGATATATATTTATTTGTATATAAATATAATTTATTTGTAAGTTATTATCGAGAAAATTCTAGTAGTTTAGTGGTTGGAGTATCAGCCTCCAACTCTAAAGTACTGGCTTCGAATCTCGCCAATGACAATTCTCTTAAAAAATTAATAAACTTCTAAAAAATATAATATAAAGAGATGGAGGACCTAATAAAAATATAATATAAAGAGAGGGGAGACTTCTAGATAAATAAAAGGGGTAAAGGGGTTGTAAATAAATAAAAATTATTAATTTAAATAATCATACTTTCAACGTCGGTTTATTAGAACCGACGTTGAAAGTTACGACTTTCAACGTTGCTTGATACAACGTCAGTTCAACAACCGACGTTGAAAGCCTTCTAGAACCGACGTTGAAAGCTTTATTTGTAGTAGTGGTTCGTGTTAATAGTGACATCACCAAACGTCTTGACCAAACCAAGAATGTGTCGTTTGTCTACCCCACTAGTTGAATATCTTCATTAGGACACCATGGATGGTTAAACCACCCTCAAAAACTCAACCAGCAACCATTAGATGCAAGGGGTCATCTTTAACGTATAACTCACACTAGTGTGGTGCATCAGTTTGAATATATTCCCCTGAAGGATCTACAGTAACAACACAATTCCCTTTAGTACTAACTCGAACAACATCATCTTGAATTATCTAAGGTGTTCCTTGAGTCTGTTGCTGAGAGCAGACAAGAGATTCAAGTTTATCATCAAACTTTTGCTGCAAGGACTGCCATATTTGATTTAACTTTTCTTCAAACTGCATCTCTATTTTATACAAGGCCTCCTGGCTACAAGAGTCGGCAGTGGTCCTTCATGATGGTGGACCAAAATAATCACGAAGGCTTCAATAGTATTTCGATTAAATAAAAGTCGATCCCACGAGGAACGATTTTAATGGAAAATTCCCAATTATATGCTTACTAAGTGGATTAAGCTGAATGAGTTTTTCTTAAAGAGTTGAATTGAAAGTAATTGACAAAGAATTGTAAATTGTTTAGAAAATATCAATTAAAGGCACTTAAAATTGACTTCCTTCTTTTTCCCTCTTTTGAAATGACTATGTTTAATTAAGATCATCAATTAACCTAACAATGTTGATGTCACCTACTCAAATCATTCATGTTGATTTCTCACGCATGAAATTCATAAGAAAACCTAATAACTGTTGATTTTGCACACAATTAAGAGATTTTCCAGTATTAGGGTTAGGGTGTTGAGCAATTGATTCATTCATTCCATTCATGACAATTAACATAACAAATATTCTTACCATGATCTATGGTTTAAGATATATTTTTCAATCATACCTCAAACATCAAGAATAATTCATTCTGTGACACAAAAGATAAGAATAACAACATCAAAACATAGATTAATATCTCAAAATATCACCAAGATACAAAATAGTTCAAAGGAAGTGCACCAAATCCCAAGAGAATGAAGTTAACCACTCATGATGGCCATTACAATGCTCAAAATGATGAAGAAGTGAAAAATTGATGAAGACTGGACAAAACTCTAGCAGTAGTCGCGCCTCTTCTCCCCAAAACTCCACACTTTTTTCAAAACACATCTTATCTTTTTATAGGAAAAATTGGGTATCGCGTCTTTCACTCAAGCGACAACACTCACTCAAGCGAAATTTCCCTATTCTCGCTCAAGCAACAAAGTGATTGCTTGAGCGAGTGAATTTCAGAGAAGAATAACTAATTTTTGCTCAAGCAAAATTTCTGGCGCTTGAGCGACTGACTTCCAGAGAGTTTTAACTGATTTTCGCTCAAGCGAGAATCTATCTCGCTCAAGCAACTTCCATGCTGAAAATCTTCTTCCTCCTTTCAGTTTTGCTCCAATTATGTTCCTTACTCTTGTATCAAGGTATTCTCAAATTCATCCTACATTGGGAGAAAAATATATTAGAATTGACATAAATTAAGTGATTTCATAACAATTAAAAACATAATTATATCAACTTTTACCACTTAACAACCAACACCACACACACGTCCTGGGTGTTTTGGTCTTCCTATGACTGTCATCAATATGTCTTATCGACCATGAGGAATAAATTATCCTTAAGTGGTTTGTTCAACTAAATCATCCTGCAACACATGAATAATAACTAAGACACACTAACTTACGTA